AAGTCCCCCCTCCCCACACCTTACCTCTGGGGATCTGCAGTGTTGGGCAGGTGGATCCAAGGAATCCAGCTGCAGAATCAACCCAGCCTCACGTTGGGTGAGAGAAAGCAGGGCGAAGGAGAGGGACCAAGAAAGGTCTCTTTCCTGTTAATTGTTTAATGTACACTGAAATTGGGGGGGGGGATGACCCTCAATAATGTGCCTGCATGTTGTTACGGTAAAAACATGACTGGAAATTTCCTTTGGAGCAGAAAAGAGCCTAAGTGGGGCTGTATTTCGGCTGGCTTGGTCACATGAGAAGGGATGCTATTACAGTGGTACCTTGGGTTACATACGCTTCAGGTTACAGACTTCGCTAACCCAGAAATTGTACCTCAGAACTTTGCTTCAGGATGAGAACAGAAATCGTGCTGCGGCAGCACAACAGCAGCAGGAGGCCCCTTTAGCTAAAGTGGTGCTTCAGGTTAAGAACAGTTTCAGGTTAAGAACAGACCTCCGGAACAAAGTAAGTACTTAACCCGAGGTACCACTACAGGCTGTTGTTGTAAAAGGTTTGGGTTGGCTTTGCAGCCAAACCCCCTAGAAAGGTCTGCTGTGGGTCAGCAGGAAAGCAAAACAAGGCAGGCCGGTCTTCATTGCATCAGTTGCAAGCAGAGTCTTTCTGCCCCTTGCAAGGAGGACAGGAGCCCTTTTAAAACTTTATAGACGTGGTAACTGAGAGACCACCCAAAATCATTACAAATATGGGTTGTCCCCAAAACCAGAGCATGCACAAAGTTCATGTTTGTCAGTGAGGACGAACCTGACCTCAGTGGACCAAAGATCTGACAGCACTAGAAAGCGCCTTCCTGTGCACTGGGGCCGCTGCTGTGTGCTTTTCAGGAAAAGGTTGGACTTGGGAAGCCCATCAAAACGTCTTAATCTCAAGTCAAGGTGCTGCAGTGGCTCCTGTGTTGCACCTGGGAGACCTGTGTTCAGATCCCGTCACTGGAGACCTTGGGCCAGTCCCTGCATCTCAGCCCAGCCCACCTCACAGGATGGTGGTTGAGAGGATGAAAAAGGAGGTGGAGAACCATACAGAACGCCTCACACTCCATCTGTGTCTAAACAAAGACATCTCCAAAAAATATACTTTTGGCACAATCTGGTCTCCCTTGAATGAAGAAGGGCAGAATACTTTAATGCCGCCACCATCATCATCATCACCACAGAGGTATTTGTGGAGGGTATATAATGATTGGAAATGTCTAGCCAAGCAGATGGGTAGTTGGGTTCCTATTGAGGGTATTGGGTGAGGCAACATGACCGTGATGTGGGATTGAGGATTGGAGTGATCATCCTGTAATATTATGGCAAATACTGTATTTGAAAAAATGATTTATTTTTTTTAAAGGTCTTGAATTCAATGCTTTGCATGCAGGAGGTCCCAGGTGCAATCCTGGCAGACAAAGAGACCCCTCTTGGCATCCATGTCCCAGCCAAAGAAGATTGGAAAGTCAAACTAATGGAATAGCTGAAATGGTAAAACTGACATTGAAAATAAGAAGGGATGGCAATGAATTTAAGGAAGATTGGAAGGACTTCACTGATTATATGCAGAAGCAACGGACACGGGTTAATACATCAGCAGGATTCTAGAACTAGTAATGATATTATGAATGGACAATAAGTAATTTCAATGGTTTTTAAAATTTACAATGGACATGTGGGATGATGATAAATAATGGAACCAGGGAAGGGACACGGGGAATGTCATTTTTTTCTATTTTTGTTTATGAATTTGTATGGTGGTTGTTTTCATTTTCTTATTTTTGAAAAATTAGTAACATATAAAAAAGAGAAGCTATTGTAAAACAATGAATTTATAAAATATAAACGTCGAATAGTTTAAGGATTACTTTCCAGTCTTTCTGTGTTATCAGTGTCCATTTATTGCAACTATAAAAATGGAATTTATGCTCTTCTTATAACTGGGAGTTGGACTAGAAGACCTTGGACTCCCTTTCAACTCCACAGTTCTAGGATTCCAGAGCCAATCCTGCTTCCTAAACACCACAGTTGTGCTCCACTTTTCCCAACTCTGGATTCCCAATTCTCTCTGCCAAAGACCAAATATCAACGGACTCTCAGCACATGTTCACACTCAGTGTCACATTCTGCACATGTCTAACAGTACATTGCATCTTTCATATACTTAACTGTTATGAGACATTACCGTCATTGCCTTAATACATATATGTACACCTTTCCATACAAACATCAGAAAATCAAAATTACTCCATGCGTTTAGAATTGATTTTCCCTATATGAGTTTGCTGATATGAGGGACAAAGTGAACTCTCTGGGAAAAACATGGCACACTCCATAAAACTAAATGGGTTCTCTCCCGTGACCGTCAGCAGATGTTATTTAAGAACTTCATTATAATTGAAATACTTTCCGCACTCCTTTCATTTATTTATTTTTTAAATAATATTTTTTATTGCTTTTTTCCAAGGTCAGATACATCGTCAATAATTCAACAAAAGCGACTTTACAAAAAAGAAAAAAAGAAGATTATAAAAAGAAAAAAATCACATTTTACAAACAGTTTTTCATGATCCACTGGACTTCCCCACATCCTCCACCCCCTGCATCCTTTATAATAAAGAAAAATAACAGCAAATTGATACCTTGTTTCATGCGTTTTTGTACTTTCATCTAATTATATTTTAGATTTAGGGTACTTGTTATTAACTCACTTTTCCATCGATCCTAAGAATAAAAACGTTACTCTAAACTTTAGTCATTTCACAGTCGTAACTTAGTTTCCACCATAATCAAATTTAATTGCTGAAGCTTGTTGTCCCAAAACTTAGCAAATTCTCAACATTCATATAACTTATAATATTTTTGTAAATAGTCCTTAAATTTTTTCCAGTCCTCTTCCACTGCCTCTTCTCCCAGGTCTCGGATTCTGCTAGTCATTTCGGCCAATTCCATGTAGTCCATCAGTTGCGTATGCCACTCTTCCAGCGTGGGTAGCTCCTGTGCCTTCCAATATTTGGCTAAAAGAATTCTTGCTGCTGTAGTTGCATATAAAAAGAAGGTTCTATCCTTCTTTAGCACTCTCTGGCCCACAATGCCCAGGAGGAAGGCCTCTGGTTTCTTGTGAAAGGTATACTTAAATACCTTTTTCAACTCATTATAAATCATTTCCCAGAAGGCCTTCACCCTCGGGCATGTCCACCAGAGGTGAAAGAATGTTCCTTCAGCCTCCTTACACTTCCAACACTTATTATCAGACAGATGATATATCTTTGCAAGTTTGACTGGGGTCATGTACCACCTGTATATCATTTTCATAATGTTTTCTTTCAAGGCATTACATGCCGTGAATTTCATACCGGTGTATCATACCGCACTCCTTTTCATACCGCACTCCTTTCATTTAAATGGCTGCTTCTCTGTTTGATCTTTGATGTCTTCTAAGAGATCCACTCTCACTGAAACCCTTCCCACAATTCATACATTTATATGGTTTCTCACCTGTGTGAGTTCGTTGATGTCTACTAAGGTGTGAACACTGACTGAAGCTCTTTCCACACTCCATACATCTAAATGGTTTCTCCCCTGTGTGAATTCGTTGATGTATTGTAAGTTTTGCACCTTTACTGAAACCCTTCCCACAATCCTTACAATTAAATGGTTTCTCCCCGGTGTGACTTTGATGGTGCACATTGAGTTCCCAACTACACATGAAGCACTTTACACACTCCATACATTTATATGGTTTCTCCCCTGTGTGAATACGTTGATGTATACTAAGGTGTGAACACTGAGTGAAGCTCTTCCCACAATCCACACATCTAAATGGTTTCTCCCCAGTGTGAATTCGTTGATGTACGGTAAGACTTCCATTTTCACTGAAGCTCTTCCCACACTGCATACATTTAAATGGTTTCTCCCCGGTGTGAATTCGTTGATGTACAGTAAGTCTTTCATTTAAACTGAAGCTCTTTCCGCACTCCAAACATTTAAATGGTTTATCCCCTGTGTGAATTAGTTGATGTCTAGTAAGGTTTCCATTTTTACTGAAGCTCTTTCCGCACTCCATGCATTTAAAGGGTTTCTCCCCTGTGTAATTTTGTGTGCTAAGGTGTTCACTCAAACTGAAGTACTTCACAGATGGCCCCTCAAAATTCTGATTGCCTCCTCCATCACCTGGTTTAAAGTGGGAGATAATAAAATATTGTTAGGTCTTCAAGGAAGAGAACCAGAGGACTTAACACACAGCAAGACCAATCAGACCTTCTCTGATTTTAACACTTCCAGCATCCCTCCCTCTACTATGTACTAAAGTTTCCGGAAAGGAAAGGAAATCTAAAAATAGCCTGAAGAACCCTTAGTATCCAGTTCTACCTTCCACTCCCATGTAACACTGAGCACCAAGAGAAATCTTCTGTGCTGAGGTTAGGTATCTATGGCCCTCAAGATGTGGTTGGACTCTAAGTATCCTCAAGACAAGATGGCCAAGTATCAGATGCCTGATTATTGTCTTTGAAAGCAACTACTCTATTCCCAACTTAAGAATGGAAAGAGAAATACCGGAGGACAAAAATGAGGTTTCAGAATGCTCTCAAGGCAAATCTAAAAAAATGCAGTATAAGCATAGAAAATTGGGAAACACTGGCCAGCGAGCACTCCAATTGGAGAATAACCTTTACCAAAGGCATTATGGACTTTGAAGAAGCACAAACTCAGGCCAAAAGGGAGAAACAAGCTAAGAGGAAAACACGTTTGGCAAACCCTCGCTGTGATTAACATCTCCTCGGAAACCTATGTCCCCACTGTGGAAGGATGTGTGGATCTAGAACTGAACTCCACAGTCCCTTACGGACACACTGGTAAGATCATGTTCATGGAGGAATCGCCAAAGAAGAAGACACAACATGAATAAATGGCTCAAACAGGAGATTCACAACATCGAACAGCCAGGAGGAATAAAAATCTGCCCTTACCTAGAGAGGCCACCATCTCATAATTCTCCTCCATGACTTCCTTGTGCAGAGCTCGTTGGCCAGGATCCAGCAGAGCCCACTCCTCCTCCGTGAAAAACACAGCCACCTCCTCAAAGGTCAAGAGGGCCTGGAAGAAGAAGAGGAAGAAGACAGAGCTGCTCTTAGATCCCCATCATCCCCACTCAACACAGAGGGAGGCTGGGTGGTCCCATACAAGATGGGTGACACCTGGCTTGAGAGCAGTACATGTGAAAAGGATCTAGGAGTCTTGGTTGACCACAAACTTGACATGAGCCAACAGTGTGACGCGGCAGCTAAAAAAGCCAATGCAATTCTGGGCTGCATCAATAGGAGTATAGCATCTAGATCAAGGGAAGTAATAGTGCCACTGTATTCTGCTCTGGTCAGACCTTACCTGGAGTACTGTGTCCAGTTCTGGGCACCACAGTTCAAGAAGGACACTGACAAACTGGAACGTGTCCAGAGGAGAGCAACCAAAATGGTCAAAGGCCTGGAAACGATGCCTTATGAGGGACGGCTAAGGGAGTTGGGCATGTTTAGCCTGGAGAAGAGGAGGTTAAGGGGTGATATGATAGCCATGTTCAAATATATAAAAGGATGTCACATAGAGGAGGGAGAAAGGTTGTTTTCTGCTGCTCCAGAGAAGCGGACATGGAGCAATGGATCCAAACTTCAAGAAAGAAGATTCCACCTAAACATTAGGAAGAACTTCCTGACAGTAAGAGCTGTTTGACAGTGGAATTTGCTGCCAAGGAGTGTGGTGGAGTCTCCTTCTTTGGAGGTCTTTAAGCAGAGGCTTGACAACCATATGTCAGGAGTGCTCTGATGGTGTTTCCTGCTTGGCAGGGGGTTGGACTCGATGGCCCTTGTGGTCTCTTCCAACTCTATGATTCTATGATCTGTGCCTCTTCCCTCCTCCCTGCTCCTGTTGCTCTTTCCCTACCTGAGGAAGCTGCCTGGCTCCTCTTTCCACTCCACCTTTAAGAAGAGACAGTGCAAACGATGGTGCCCCTGAGGCCATTGCGCTGCCACTTCTGCGACCCTCTCAGCTGTTGCCACGATGCACTTCAATGCAGGGAGCAGCTCTTTTAGGAAAACAATGAAGAAATAATAATAGTAATAATAATAAATTGAATTTATATACTGCCCTATACCCGGAGGTCTCAGGGGGGTGCACAGACAGATGGATTTAATTAGGGTGGGATACATTTACACAGATAGCATACCTGTTACAAACTGCAAATATTAATACTAATAAATTAATACAGTACTCATAAATTCTAATTACAAAGGCAGGAACTGACAGGAACTTTATAATACTGTAAGCTGCCTCAGTCTTTGGGTTTGTAAAGTTCTAGGATCAAATCCCAAACTCTTAATGAAGCTTTGCAGAAAGCATTACAGTCCCAAGAGGAAATCAGGAGAAGCCTCTCTTTGGAAAGAAAAAGCATGAAAAACTGTTCTCCCTTCTCCTTTCCCCAAGTCCAGCTGGGGAGAGGGCATTTCTTTAATTCCTCCAGTCTTTGCCTTGAACATATTTAAAGGGCTTCTCAGACCTTGATCAGTTTCAAATCCTGCCAACCATGGGCCCATTTCCCTTGCCAAGCAGGAGGAAAACTGACAGGTACTTTTTCATGCTTCAGGAAATGGAAAATGCGCCTCTTCCCTCCAGTTTTGGGGAACAAAAGCAGCACAGCAACCCCCACCCCCAACATGGGAAACCCAACAAGGCTCTTTTCTTTGTGCCAAAGCAACCTCAGCCGGCCAGACTAGGATTTCTGAAAGGGGAGCTGGGGGGGGCAGTGTTCCAGGCTGAGTGTGAAGAAATACATAAAAATGGGTTAGGAGGCTGGGTCTAAGATGGGGGGGATGTCCCCTGGTGACTTTCATTGCATAGGTGCCAGCTCCCTGGGTCCCTGAGCACCCACCCAATTCCCCATGAAGGGGCCGGGCACCCACAAATTTCGGTGCCAGGGCCATGCATACTGAATGGCACCCACAGCCCCGGGGACCCACGGTCGTGGGGTGAAACTGGCACAACTGGTTCCGTGATCCAATCAGGCTGGGGTGGGGGGGAGAGCCCTTCTCTAGTTCGTCTCGGGAAGCAAAATGTCTCTCTCTCCCCCCCCCCCCCGGAGTCTGGTTGATCTCTCCGCTTCCAAGAGGATCCCCGCAATGCAAACCTTGTTTGGGGGAGAGGACGCCCCTCCCATCTGCAACCGATTGCTCGTTGCCTCTCCTGGTTCCCAGAGGGAAAGGGGGGAGCCCTTCCTTCCATTCATCCCCCCCCCCCATCCTTCCCCCCTCCCTGCTGCCATGATTCAGGTGGAAGAAAAGCAAATTCTTCTCCCTCCCTGCACCCCAAATCAGCCCCATCCGAAATGTTGCACCTTTTCCCTCCTTCTCTTCCGGGGATGTGCATGGAGACCCCACCCCTCCAACATTAACTCTACCCCCCCCGCTCCGTCACTTCCTGCCTCCCTAGGAAGCGAGTTCGTTCACCCAGGGTGACCCCCTCCCTGCAAGCAGAGACCTAGGAATGTAGTGGGAAGGGACTCTTCCCCCCCCCCCCATGCTTTGGATGCAGGAGTGCAATCCTGGCAGGCAAAGAGCACCCTGCTGGCATCCGTCTGTCTCGGGAGGCGATGGAGGAGGGGGCCTTTGGGGGTGAAGTCCAACTCTGGGCAGCTTGCAGCACCTGCTGTCACTTCATCATGTCATGGGCAAATGCTCAATGCCGGCAGAGGGAGTAGCAGCTCCATATGAACTCTGCTTCCAGCCTCCTATACTGCCAGCTCTTTCTACAGATTTCTGAAAGATGGGCCAATTATGGGGGCACAGAGATCCCTCTCTCCGCAGGGAGATGACTCTCCTGAAACCACTGGCAATGCCCACATTTCCCTGTGCCACCTTCCCTCCCCATGTTGGTTGTTCCCCGCAGCACCTCCTTTATTCCGGCTGCCACCTGGGATTTTATCCCCTTTGCAGTTAATGTACCCATGAATGAGAAGAGAAGGTAAAACAATGAATTTATAAAATATAAACAACGTAGGATATTTTAAAGATTACTTTCCAGTCTTTCTGTGTTTTTGTTGTTCCTTTATTGCAACTATAAAAATGTGATTTATGCTGCTGTTCTAATAATAATAATAATAATAATAATAATAATTTATTTATTTGTACGCCATCCATCTGGCTGGGTCCCCCCAGCCACTCTGGGCGGCTTCCAACAAAACACTAAAATAACCTATTAAACATTAAAAGCTTCCCTAAACAGGGCTGCCTTTAGATGTCTTCTAAAAGTTTGGTATTTTTCTCTTTGACATCTGGTGGGAGGGCGTTCCACAGGGCGGGTGCCACTACCGAGAAGGCCCTCTGCCTGGTTCCCTGTAACTTGGCTTCTCACAGCGAGGGAACCGCCAAAAGGCCCTCGGCGCTGGACCTCAGTGTCTGGGCATAAACTGGGAGTTGGACTAGAAGACCCTGGACTCCATTTCAACTCCACAGTTCTAGGATTCCAGAGCCAACCCTGCTTCCTAAACACCACTATTGTGCTCTACTTTCCCCAACTCTGGATTCCCAATTCTCTCTGCCAAAGACCAAGTATCAGTGGATTCTCAGCCCATGTTCACACACAATGAGCCCTCGAGAGTCACATTCTGCACATCCCTAACAGTACATTGCATCTTTCATATACAGTGGTACCTGAGGTTAAGTACTTAATTCGTTCCGGAGGCCCGTTCTTAACCTGAAACTGTTCTTAACCTGAAGCACCACTTTAGCTAATGGGGCCTCCTGCTGCCACCACGCCGCCAGAGCACGATTTCTGTTCTCATCCTGAAGCCAAGTTCTTAACCTGAGGTACTATTTCTGGGTTAGCGGAGTCTGTAACCTGAAGCGTATGTAACCAGAGGCACCACTGTATGAGACATTACCTTCATTGCCTTAATACATGTATGTACAACTTTCAAACATCAGAAAATCAAAAATATTCCATGCATTTACAATTGAATTTCCTTATATGAGTTTGCTGATATGAGGGACAAAGTGAACTCCGTGGGGAAAACATGACATACTCTATAAAACTAAATGGGTTCTCCCCCGTAACACTATGTAAGTGCTTATTAAGAACTTCATTATAACTGAAATACTTTCCACACTCCTTCCATTTAAACAGTTGCTTCTCTGTGAGATCGTTGATGTCTTCTAAGAGTTCCATTTCCATTGAAGCCCTTTCCACACTCTATACATTTAAATGGTTTCTCCCCTGTATTAGTTCATTGATGTCTTTTAAGAGCTCCATTCTGATTAAAGCACTTCCCACAATTCATACATTTAAATGGTTTTTTCCCTTTGTGAGTTCGTTGATGTGTAGTAAGGCTTGCACTCTGACTTAAGCTCTTTCCGCATACCCTACATCTAAATCAGGCATGTCCAAAGTTGGTTTATTCCGGCCCCTGTGGCAGTTTATTTCCTGGGGTAAAATCCTAAAAAACCCTCAAAAACCTTGGGGGGAAATCCCGCCAAAAGCTCAACAACTTCAATCCCCAAAAAAACAATTTTGGTCAGCCCCCACGCATATTAACTTCATCAAATCTGGCCCTCTTTGAAAAAAGTTTGGACACCCCTGATCTAAATGGTTTTCCCTGTGTGAATTCGTTGATATTAGATAAGTCTTCCATTTTTACTGAAGCTCTTTCAGCACTACATACATTTAAAGGGCTTCTCCACTGTGTGAGATCGCTGGTGTCTTCTAAGAGTTCTACTATCACTGAAACCCTTCCCACAATCCATACATTTAAATGGTTTCTCTCCTGTATGAGTTCGTTGATGTGTTGCAAGAGCTCCACTCTGACTGAAACCCTTCCCACAAATACATTTAAATGGTTTACTCCCGGTGTGACTTTGCTGGTGCACAGTGAGTCTTCCACTACAAATGAAGCTCTTCCCACACTCCAAACATTTATATGGTTTCTCCCCTGTATGAGTTCGTTGATGTAGAGTAAGGCTTCCACTGGCACTAAAGCACTTTCCACAAACAGTACATTTGTATGGTTTCTCACCTGTGTGAGTTCGTTGATGTCTAGTAAGTGTTCCATTGTGACTGAAACTCTGTCCACACTCTATACATTTAAAGGGTTTCTCCCCTGTGTGAGTTCGTAGATGTATGGTCAGTTTTGAAGCTTCACTGAAGTTCTTTCCACACTCAATACATTTAAATGGTTTCTCCCCTGTATGAGTTCGTTGATGTGTTGCAAGAGCTCCACTATGACTGAAAGCCTTCCCACAAATACATTTAAATGGTTTCTCCCCGGTGTGACTTTGTTGGTGTAGAGTGAGTTTCCCACTACGAATGAAGCTCTTTCCACACTCCAAACATTTATATGGTTTCTCCCCTGTGTGAGTCCGCTGATGATTTCTAAGCCCTCCACTCTCAGTGAAACTCTTTCCACAATCCATACATTTAAAGGGCTTCTCCCCTGTGTGAATTCGTTGATGTATAGCAAGTTTTCCACTCTCACTGAAGCTCTTTCCGCACTCCATACATTTAAAAGGTTTCTCCCCTGTGTGAGTTCGTAGATGTATAGTAAGGTGTGAACATTGTCTGAAGCTCTTTCCACACTGCATACATCTAAATGGTTTGTTCCCTGCGTGAATTTGTTTATGTACAGTAAGGTTTCCATTTTTACTGAAGCTCTTTCCGCACTCCATGCATTTAAAGGGTTTCTCTCCTGTGTTAGTTTGTAGATGGGTGCTAAGGTGTTCACTCACACTTAAGTACTTTGCAGATGGCCCTTCAATATTCTGATTGCCTCCTCCATCACCTGGTTTAAAGTGGGAGATAAGAAAATATTGCTAAGTATTTAAGGAAGAAGATCAAACCTATCCATTCTTAAGGAAATCAGCCCTGAGTGCTCACTGGAAGGACAGATCGTGAAGCTGAGGCTCCAATACTTTGGCCACCTCATGAGAAGAGAAGACTCCCTGGAAAAAACCTTATGTTGGGAAAGATTGATGGCACAAGGAGAAGGGGACGACAGAGGACGAGATGGTTGGACAGTGTTCTCGAAGCTACGAACATGAGTTTGACCAAACTGCGGGAGGCAGTGGAAGACAAGTATGCCTCGGACACGACTAAACAACTAAACAACAACAATTCAAGGAAATGAACAAGAGAACTTAACACACAGCAAGACCAATCAGCACATTCTCTTATTTTAACACTTCTAGCATACCTCCCTCTCCTATGTACTAAAGTTTTAGGAAAGGAAAGGAAATCTGAAAATAGCCTGAAGAACCCTTAGTATCCAGTTCTACCTTCAACTCCCATGTAGCACTGAACACCAAGAAAACCCTTCTATATACAGATGAGACATCTATGGCCCATTCTTCATTCCCCCCCCCAAGTGAAAATGCTTTGTGTCTGTATTGGGTTTTCTCCTTCCTCCCTGATCTGTAATATCTCGCTGATACATTCCAACCAACTGTACACATCGCCTAAACCTGCACCAGGATGCTGGGAAAGATGGGCCCTCGCTCTGATGCAAAAGGGCTCTTGTTATATCCCTACACACTGAAAGGAGACATACAAAGGTACAGCCTCACAGCAAAGTGGAAGTATGTACCTCTCAATTGGTCCAGGACAACATCCCTGTATTTTTCTGTTCCAAGCGAGGAGGTGAGCTCAGATCTGAATATCAGAGTCTCTGCTATGTGGAATAAGTAAAGCAGAAGCGTTGTTTATGTATATGTGACTGTAAAAGTATCCAAAGTAACAATATTTTGTTACAGCAAAGTATCTGGTGGCCCATTAAAAGCTAATAATGACTTCCACCAGAAAACCTCTTTGTAGATTTTACAGAGGTTTTTCTGGGAAATTCATACCACAATATCAGCTTATGAAGAGTTTCCTACAGACAAAAGTACAGTGCTGTCAGGATTCACCATGCTCCTCTCATACCAAGAAGCGGCAAGCTGGCAGGTTTATTACTCTTAGATTTATTGAGTATTTACACAGTAGCTTCAGTCCGAGCCCTCCCAGCTCAGTCCTCTCCCAATGAGACAGTTGGACCCACTGGATGACACTGTTGACGCCAGCAGTATATCCTCCACCGGTTGACCCACCTCCTGTTGGGCTGGCGTTGCGCCTCTACTCTACTCTTCTGCCTACTCTGAGGAGACTCGGGGACAGCTGGCCTTCCTCCTCCTCTTGAGCCGGATCTAACAGCGGCAGTTGCTCTGAAGCAGGCTCTGTCTGCCCTGTGCTGTCTTGGGAATTTATAGCCTGCATTCCAGGATGGGACAGACTTCCATCACTCTCAGTGTGAGCAGAATTCAAGCCTCTACCCTCCTTAGCCTGCCCAGACTTCTTCCCTGGAGTCTACACTGTCTCACTCTGGGAAGGGACATCCCTGAGAAGTATTGCTATACACTACAATCTTCAACATCAACATCATTGGACTGGTCATGTTGTTCAGATGCCTGATTATTGCCTTCAAAACAACTATTCTATTGCCAACTTAAGAATGGAACTTAAGAATGGACAACAAAAGAGGTTTCAAGATGGTCTCAAGGCAAATCTAAAAAAAAAAAAATGCAGTATAAGAACAGAAAATTGGGAAACACTGGCCAGCGAGTGCTCCGATTGGAAAATAACCTTTACCAAAGGCATCATGGACTTTGAAGAACCACAAACTCAGGCCAAAAGGGAGAAACAAGCTAAGAAGAAAGCATGTTTGGCAAACCCTCACCGTGATCAACTCCCACCTGGAAACCTATGTCCCCACTGCCAAAGGATGTGTGGATCCAGAATTGGACTCCACAGTCCCTTACGGACACACCGTTAAGATCATGTTCATGGAAGACAATCTTACTCGGCTACAAGGGGTCACCAAAGAGGAAGACACGGCATGAATAAATGGTTCAAACAGCAGATTCCCAACTTCAACATCTAACAGCCAAGAGGGGGGAAAAATGTGCCCTTACCTAAAGAGGCCACCATCTCATAATTCTCCTCCATGACTTCCTTGTGCAGAGCTCTTTGGCCAGGATCCAGCAGAGCCCACTCCTCCTCCGTGAAAAACACAGCCACCTCCTCAAAGGTCAAGAGGGCCTGGAAGAAGAAGAAAACAGGGCTTCTCTTAGATCCCCATCATTCCCACTCACCACAGAGGGAGGCTGGGTGGTCCCATCTGTGCCTCTTCCCTCCTCCCTGCTCCTGTTGCTCTTTCCCTACCTGAGGAAGCTGCCTGGCTCCTCTTTCCACTCCACCTGTAAGAAGAGGCCGTTCAGAGGGGGGCTCGGAGGCCATTGCGTTGGCACTGGAAAGGACAGAGGAGGAGGAGGAGGCGTAAACTGGGCCACTTCTGGGACTCTCTCAGCTGTTGCCACTATGCACTTCAATTCAGGGAACAGCTCTGAAAAATGCAGAAATTATTATTATTATTGACTGAATTTATGTACTGCCCTAGACTACGAGGTCTGAGAGTGGTTCATAGAAAGGCAGATTTAATTTGGATGGGAGATATTTACACAGATAGCATACCTTTTACAAATTACAAATACCAATTCTAAAAAATTAATACTCATAAATTCTAATTACAAATGCAAAATAGAAACACATATTATGAAAAATATATGAAATAGTTAGTGAAAGAAATGCACCATCTACCCCAAATTTGGGATTGTTAACAATTTTCATTGATTAAAATGCTGATTGGAGATATCAGGAACTCATCCTCTATGTTTTAATAGCTGTTCAGAAACTCATTGCTCAAAACTGGAAAGCTCTGGAACACTTGAGATTTTCACACCAGAAATAGAAAGTATTGAATCTTGGAGTAAGAACTGGAAAAACCTACTCCTTTCTACAGGAACTTTATAATACTATAAGCTGCCTCAGTCTTTAGGGGACATTCAGCTTCGGTTTGGAAAGTTCTAGGATCAAATCCAAAACTCTTAATGAAGCTTCGCAGAAAGTGTTACGGTCAGCAGCAGAGGTCGCTTTTCCTTTCCTCCGAACAGCCATCCAGGAAACCAGTTTCTGACCTTTTGATACATTTAGAATAAAGAAAGTAAGGGAAACTCTTAAATTATGGGCAGAATTTGCAGTCAGAGGAAAACCAACACCTGGGGGCACCAGGATGCAGAAGCTCCATCCAAGGGGAGAGGAAATATTTAGAGCACTCTATGCGCTAACATGGAGTGTACCGTATTTTTTGCACCACAACACTCACTTTTTTCCTCCTAAAAAGTAAGGGGAAATGTCTGTGCGTGTTATGGAGGGAATGCCTACGGGTTGCATGCCTACAGATTTTCCTCCTCTAAAAACTACATGCGTGTTATGGTCGAGTGCGTGTTATAGAGCGAAAAATACGGTAGTTTAGGGGACAGAAATAGGAAGTTCAGTGGCTTATGGCCCCCTAGTGACTAGTCCTTCCTCTTAGGAACTGTGTGTGTGTGTGTGTGTCCCCTTTTATCTTCCCTACACTGTGAGGAAGGACAGGAGGAGAAATAATCAGGGGGTCCAAACTGGGCACAGGGCATCCCTCCTGAGCATGGGGATGGGAGACAGGGTCTCCCTGGTGGAAGCCCAGCACCCGAACTGCAGGGTGGGGAACCTCAGACCCAGGGGCTAAATTGGCCCTCAAATCCTTTCTCTCTTTCTCTCTGGCCCTCAGGAATTTCCCCAGTGCCACACCCTCTTTCCAATACTTCCCAACTGCCTCCTGAGGTTTTTTTTGTGGGGCTGGAAAAAATCCCTGGAAGGCAGGCAGCTCCTGGACAAAGCTCAGAGTCAGCCCCATAGCCCCACCAACTCTGTCCTCTGGCCCTGCCCATCAATCTGGCTGTCATCCTGGCCCACCTTGCAGGGTTCTGGTGTGAGCACTGCCCAGGTAGTGGGTTTTAGATCACCTACAGTATTATAAGGGCCCTCCTGGCAACCTGGATGGGGACAAGGCCAGGCAGGAGCGAGGCTGCCAGAAACGGCAGAGAAAGTCCCTCAGCACCTCTGCGCTGGGCCAATCCTGCAAGACAGGCCAGATCTCCCACCCCTGGGGCTTTGATTCTCCTTCCCGACAAAGTCCCAAGAGGATATCTGGAGAAGCCTCTTTTTGGAAAGAAACAGCATTAAAAACTCATCCCCCTTCCGCTTTCCCCCAAGGCCAGCTGGGGAGGGGGCATTTCTTTAATTCCTCCAATCCTTGCCTTGAAGCTGTTTAAAGGGCTCCTGAGACCTTGATTAGATTTAAATCCTGCCATCCATGGGCCCATTTCCCTTGCCAAGCAGGAGGGAAACTGACAAGGTGCTTTTTCATGCTTCAGGAAATGGAAAATGCGCCTCTTTTTGGGGCACAAAAGCAGCACAGCAAACCCCCCCCCCACATGGGAAATCCAACAAGGCTCTTTCCTTTGTGCCAAAGTAACCTCAGCAGGCCAGAGTAGGATTTCTGAAAGGGGAGCTGGGGGGCCTCCCCCTTCTCACATCAGCCTCCGGAGGCCGATTTTCCCTTGACACTGTCCATCTCTCACCCCCCACCCAATTCGAAATCTCCCCCCTCTCTCCCACTCCAGAGGCGACTCTGTTCTCCAGCTGCTTCTCCTGCACCAAAGCAGACTCCCTCCCACCCTCCATATCTCCTCCCCCCCCCCCGCCCATACAGGGATACCAACGTTGAATAAAATATTGGGGGCAGCCCTCTCAAATCTCTTATGGGGAGGGGAGAAGACCCCTCGGGCCCCTATGAGTTGGCTCCTATCCTTTCATGACCCCTACTGAGGCAGGGGGCGGCAGTTCAGGGTTCTGGGGTTCATCCTGCAAGGCAAACCTTGTTTGGGGGAGAGGACCCCACCCCCCTGCAGCCGCTTGCAGAGGGAAAGGGGGAGCCCTTCCTTCTTTCACCCCCCCCTTCATCCTTCCCCCCTCCCTGCTGCCCTGTTTGTAGCTTCAGGGGGAGGGAAAGCAAATTCTTCTCCCTCCCTGCACCCCAAATCACCCCCTCCCGAAATGTTGCACCTTTCCCCTCCTCCTTTGCAGGCCTCCTTCTCTTCCGGGGTGTGCATGGAGACCCCACCCCTCCAACATTGCCTCTACCCCCCCCGCCCTGCTCCGTCACTTCCTGCCTCTCTAGGAAGCGAGTTCATTGACCGAGGGGACGGGGGTGGGGCAGGAGATTGCCCCCTCCCTGCAAGCAGAGACCTAGAAATGTAATAGGAAGGGACCCCCCCTCCCAAGGAGCCCAGTGTCCCTCAGCCTTTCTCTGACCATGCCCCCCCCCCCGCTGGTAGAAAGGTAGCTGTTTAAATATTTTGCTTGTAAATAGAGCATGTTTTATTTATAAATCTACTGTGTTACTGGAAATTGGAGAGGGGGTTGAGACCTTGCCCCCCCCCCCATGAGGCAAAGAGTCTCCGCTGCACATTCCCAAATGTAACAGTTCATTGATAAATGTGTCTATGTACTGGCTCCATGGGAAACCTTTAGAATTTCATATAAAATCACTCCGGTGATGCATTTACACTATTCCAACATTGTTCCAATCAGAAGGGAAAAGCCTACAAGAGGAGAAGTTTGGGATATAGCTAGAGACAGCCCTATCCCTTGTTGCAAGAACCGCCCCCCCCCCCCAATCATTCAGTTTGTACAAATTCGACATGCACACACGACATACGCAACACTTCTGTTATAAATTAATAGAAAATCAACTGTACATCGGATTTACACCGGTCCACTTTTATTTTGCTCCATGAAGAAAGGACTATCAAAAGGGATAGGTTTTATACAGCCCAGCCATAATCCCTTGAGTGTACCAACACGTACACAGGAGCCCTGCCCAGTTGTTATGCCAACCCTGATGGTCCTAGACAGAAGACCATCAAGGTCACAAAGAACTTGCATATAGGAGTGGATTCAGCACGGACTGGAACAAAGGACAATGATCAGCTCTTCCCTCTGGGGCAGGGGTCTGCAACCTTTAAGACAAAAAGAGCCACTTGGACCCGTTTCCGAAGAGAAAAAAAAACCTGGGAGCCGCAAAACCATTGCAACATTTAAAACAAATATATCTCCGGAGCCGCGATCTGACAGCGGGCGGGAAGGTGACGTCGGGACGGTGCGTGACTAACGCACGCACTGCCCCCATGCGACGTCACAGCCAGTACAGTGCCTGCCACAGTGGGGAGTGTTGGGGCGCACAATGCGCCTCCTCCCCTCGCTAGTATCCGCCCCGGAGCCGCGGCAAAGGTGTAAAAGAGCCACATGCGGCTCCGGAGCCGCGGGTTGCAGACCCCTGCTCTGGGGGCAGGAAACTGCAAATTCCCCTCTGTCACCTGGAAAGTACTCATGGGGAGGAGGAAAGGGGGAACCAGCCAGGTGGCAGGACACTCAGGTTACCACCACAACTCCTCCCTCAACCCCTCCTTTTTGTGATGTAGTTGTGATGTAGTTTTAGGGGTGTAGTTTTGGGGATTAGTAACTAATAAAAGTCGGGGTCTTATTTTGTTTAGGGCTTCCATCTTGCTTCATCTTGCAGTGGGTGGGAGTCCTGTCACAACAGTCTTCAATAAAGACCAAGCCTACTGGCTGCTGTTTTGCTCTGGTATTCCTAGCTGGTAGACAACTCTGGGGTTGCACTCTCATCTCGCTCTATAGGCCGAGGGAGCTGGCATTTGTCCGCAGACAGCTTCCGGGTCATGTGGCCAGCATGACTAAGCCGCTTCTGGCAACCAGAGCAGTGCACGGAAACACCATTTACCTTCCCGCTGGAGTAGTACCTATTTATCTACTTGCACTTTGATGTGCTTTCAAACTGCTAGGTTGGCAGGAGCTGGGACTGAGCAACGGGAGCTCACCCCATCACGGGGATTTGAACCGCCAACCTTCTGATCGGCAAGCTCTAGGCTCAGTGGTTTAGACCAAAGCGCCACCCGTGTCCCTTTAACCCCTGTCTACCCCTCCCCTTTTGTGACATGTGATGTAGCAATGATGTATCAATGATGCTATACGAATTGTATTCTGGGATATGGTGGGAAACTTGTCACCCCATCCTCGGGGTTCAAAATTCCTCTTTGAACCTGTTGCGCAATAAACTTTGATCTTCAGCTACTTGCTCCAGTTGGTGGCTGGACTCCTTCCTTTATTCCACAGAGACCCGCGGGCTCTGCCTGACAAGCTGGGTGACTGAGCAGCCTCACACCTAGATTTTTCCGTAACACTTACCTTGGTTTCACCTAAAGGGTGGGAGGTGGAGGTCAGGTGAGGGAGGGGGCAAGCCTGGTGCTCAGGTTTCTACCAGAAGACCCTTTCCCAATTTATGACACAGTTATGACAAATGTATGTTGTTTTACTAAGGGTGTTATGGGTAATTTGGGAAACTTATAAAAATGGGGAGCCATCCTTTGGGGCTTCTTTCTGCTTCTTCCCTTTGGTAGTTTGAAGTTTTGTTGCAACAATAAAGGTCAGGCCTACTGGCCGCTGTTTTCCTTCGATCTCTTGGCTGGAGCCTCTTCAATCTTAACCTTCATAGTAAAAGTTGAGTATTTCTAAGAGTATCAGCAGAGAGGGTCAAATTCTGTTTCCAGGAGTCATGCCTCAGCTCATCATCAGGCACCAGCACAACTCCAGATCTATCCCACCCCATATTTACAACATCTTTATGATCCCCACCTACGCAGAGCTCTTTCCCTTGCAAGATTTAATGTTTTGCTGTCTGCAGTGTTGTAAGGTAGATTTTCGGAAATCCCATATTCTGAAAGGTGCCACAAAACAGGTAAAATCCATCACACACGGTTTATTTTGCTGCCCATTTTATGCAAAAATATATTGTGGCCCCCTCTATTGAAGGAAGGAATCTATCGCACAGACTCTACCTGGGTGTCCTTTCTGTTGAATAAGTGCAGGAGTGACGTTCTAGAGAATATGGCAAGATTTCTGAATGATGCCATGAAACTATGCCGCTATAGGTCCTAAGAGCCACAATGCCAGGACAGTTTTATTCAATGGTATCTCATTTTTAACTTTTTTTTTTTAAAAAACACACACAGTACTTTTCAAGAAGGTATGCTTACCCTCTCAGTTCTTTCTTATAGGCCAGAACTGCAAAGTCAATGTGGAGTCCACATGGCAGAAAGGGACACAAAACCCTTTCCAACAAAGACCCTTTTTCTGGTAGCACATTCTTAATTCCGGTAGCAGAAGCCTCAGTAATGGAATGTGGCTGTGATGCCACCATCAAGGATTCTTTAGATCACCTTTGGATCCTCTCCAATGTTACAATTCTATGGTCCTGTCTTCTTCTTAGGAAACGCAGGAACAATCCTTCATAGGCACGGCTAGCATTTAAAAAAACACTTTCTACAACATGCATGACTTGGAAACCAACCCTGATTTCTGAGAGAGAAAAATATCAAGTTCCAGCACACCCTGGCCGGCACTTTCTTGATCTCCTGCCCTCAGGCAGAAGACATAGAAGCATTATTAGTCGCACCAGCAGGGTAAAGAACAGCTTCTATCCGTGGGCTGTTAGGCTGCTGAATGAAAAGATAACAACAGGGCAACTGACTTTCGGGTTTGGTGGGTGTGTGTCGGTAAACGAGGGGAATTAAGACTAAGAGAGCTGAGTGGGGGCGTGCTCGTGTAATCTCACTGTATTGAAATAATTGAAATTGAAATACTTTATTGTCACTTGTACAACTTGTATACAGTGAGATTACACGAGCACCCCCCACTCAGCTCTCTTAGTCTTAATTCCCCTCGTTTACCGACGCACACCCACCAAACCCGAAAGTCAGTTGCCCTGTTGTTATCTTTTCATTCAGCAGCCTAACAGCCCACGGATAGAAGCTGTTCTTTACCCTGTTGGTACGACTAATAATGCTTCTATGTCTTCTGCCTGAGGGCAGGAGATCAAGAAAGTGCCGGCCAGGGTGTGCAGTTCTGCACTACCCAAAGGCGTGGTGTTGGTGATAAACACACACACACACACACACACACACACACATAGTGGTACCTCTAGTTACAAACATCTCAGGTTACAAACGCCTCAGGTTACAAACTCTTCTAACCTGGAAGAGTTACCTCGAGTTGAGAACTTTGTCCCAGGATGAGAATGGAAATCGTGTGCCAGCAGCGCAGCAGCAGCAAGAGGCCCCATTAACGAAAGCATGCCTCTAGTTAAGAACAGTTCCAGGTTAAGAACGGACCTCCGGAATGAATTAAGTTCATAACTAGAGGTACCACTATATATATATATATATATATATATATATATATATATGCAGGTTTTGGTGTCCTCGGGTGTCTTCCCGTGTAAAAGTTGGGGTGTCTAGGCGACGCTTCGACGAGGTCCCACTCGTCATCCCCAGGCTGGCGCCCTCGGCCTCCCGCCACCGGAACAGAGCAGGACCCCAGCGCTTGAGTTCCTACAAATACTGTTGAGGGGGCGCGGTGCACAGCCTCCAATGTTCTGGGCAGAGAGGAAGCCCCCAGGCCAGTGCGCCCCCTCCTCTTCCGTTCCCCAACTACTCGAGGGACACCTTGAGCGACCTCCCGAGCGACACTCTGAGCACCACCCAGGTGGGTCACCAGGTGTGGACTAGTTGCTCAAGCCTTCGTGTCTTGACCTCTTGAACTTTGTGAAGAGTTTTTCTGAGAAGATGGCTGTACTGCACTTAGTTGTGCTCTGGCTTGGCTTCGGGTATAGGGGCGAGCTGTGGTTTTGTGCCCTGTGCCAGCCAGATCTGTGTAGGGATTGCAGGGGGGTGCAGCATCCGGAGGTGCCACCATGGTTTGGCTACTGGATGGTGTCTGTAATTTATCTGTGGAGAGGGTCTGGGTTTGGGTCTGGTGTGGTTGATTGGTGATGGCGTTCTGTGTGCCTCTGGATCTGGTGTCGGTTTTTGTGGGGAGGGCTAATTGCACCGCGCCCCCTCAACAGTATTTGTAGGAACTCAAGCGCTGGGGTCCTGCTCTGTTCCGGTGGCGGGAAGCCGAGGGCGCCAGCCTGGGGATGACGAGTGGGACCTCGTCGAAGCGTCGCCTAGACACCCCAACTTTTACACGGGAAGACACCCGAGGACACCAAAACCTGCATTCCTGTACCCGTGAAA